TGTGTGTGTATGTGTGTGTGTGTGTATGTGTATGTGTATGTATGTGTTCATGTGCTTGTGTGAATTTGCATACATGCATGCGTGTACATATGCATTCTTGTGTTATGCATTTGTGTAAATGTGTGTGTATGAGGCTGCATATATATATATATGTATGTGGCATCCTTTATCTCACCTGAGCTGGTTAGGTCCTACATGGACAATTCTACCTGAGTCATCAGGATGGAAGAAAGCCTTGTCAGGTTCCACAGAGAGGATCTCCATGTCCAGGATACCCTCCTCAGCCTGCAGAGACCGATAGAAAATTACTGAAGTTGTACTTTCATGGCCAAATAAAATGCCTGTGCATGTGTTTTTTTTTTAATAGTATTATTCAAAGATTGATATTTAGGTGTTGAGGTATAGTGCTTATAACTCATTAATTATAACAATTTTGCAGAAATATTTTAGCAGATAAGTGGATTAACTGACTTTTATGGGAACTTCTTATATTGAAAACGAAATACCCAAACAAATATATAGCATTTATGTATGATAATGACTTGATCTTTCCAATGGGGAAAAAAATCTTTTAGAAACATTATTCTGTTGTCATTTTTTTTTCCTGTATAGCATTAGTCATGTGTTTACCAGATAGAATAAAACTAAAGGGTAGCCTGATTTTCAATTTTGTTGCTAATGCTCAATAGAGATGTTCTAATCTAAAGATGTGTGACTTAAAATTACAGTTAGTGTATCATCTATAAATTCACAACTCTCCCCATCGGATCATTACTAAACCATGCACCTGACTCTTGAATTTGCTAACATATCTGTATCTTAATTACCAAGTGCTGTTTGTCGAGGGAGTAGACGTGGAAGAAGCCTCTCTGTCCCTGGGGGCAGAGCATGTAATGCCAGGGTATTCCGCCCAGCTGTAGGTTGTGTTCTGAACAACGCACGTGGAACAACACAGGGGGTGCCTCTGTGGAAATACACATCAATATTTTAAAATAAAGAAAATACTTTGTATCTACTCAGTTGTTTGTGTTTGCCTTACTAGTGGTATTCTATAACATGTTTTTTTTAAATATATCTTTGCATACTTGTCAGTAACTTTGCTTTTGGTTTCACTACATATATATTTCATGAATATTATGCTATAAATAATGTAATTTCAAAGTTTTAGAACAATAATTTTTTTTTTCCTGCAAAAATTTTTAAAATGCATCAAAAATTATGAATAAATAAATATTTTTATAATTAGTCAAGGAAACAATGGATAACAAATTTGAAGTAAATTATAAAATCAAAAAAGCTCATCACTTTCAAATTTATTACAACCTCGATCTCTGAGACAACAGCATGAACTGTGTCAGAAAAATGCATAAGCATTTTCACAAAGAAATGCAAAGCTTCTGGTAACCTGTTTATAACTGCCCTCTAAGCTAAGTTACTCACTATACAACTATAACACACATGTTCTTACCTTTCAGATTAACATTGCATGGTATACCATCTGGGTAAGACCCTGTCTTTCCTCTTCCACCAGGATGTGTGCTCTGAAGGCTGAGGTTAAATTGTTTTCCCTGGGGAGAGGACAATTATAGTTATACACCCCATTTCCATAGATTAGATCGACCTACTTTAGATCGACCTAACTCCCTGGGGGTTCACGCTAAATAGCTGTCAGCCGGGCGGACTCGAAAGTTAATTATCCCCTTACAGCTTGTAGTAGGCGGGACGGACATTTAAGTCGGATTATCTGAAAGTAATCTAGTGAGACTCCCCACGGGGATAGATCGATCTAAGATCTATGGGAATAGAGCCACAGAGAATGTAGTCCTGAGGTATACCATGGCTGAAGGTCTGTTAATTTCAGACAATGACTGTATCTTGAACCAGTTTAGATCCAAAATGAGATTTTACTTGTGGTCATTTGTTTAATAATAAACAGGAAAATCATACACACTAAATCATGGAAATGTGTACATTTATTTACTTGTGCCATCTCTGTGGCAGATACATAATTATTTAATAAATTAAAAGTGTAAACTGTTAAGATTTGTCGCACCAATTTTGCAAAATACCATTCTATATGAGTGTATCTGAATGTGTGTGTGTACAAGTGTATGTGTGTGTATGTGTGTGTGTGTGTGTGTGAGAGGGGGGGGGTTAAGAGTATAATCAAAGAGGGAGTCTTAAGCAAGACAGGCCAGCCCCAATACTCTACCTCCAGCAGGACGGTTTCAAAGCTGTACAGTCTGACTCCGCCGCCCTGGTGCATGACAACTAGAAGTCCCTGAGATATCATAGCATCTGTCACATCATGACCAAACACCTAGAGAATAGAATAATTTGAATTGGAAGGGAAAATCTTTAATTTTCTTTTAACAAAGATTCCAAAACAGAAATAGTAGAGAACAGGGCAGGATGGAATGAACAGATTTCTTAATTTGAGCCACAAATTAATTACTGAAGCAAATATTAGGTATAATATTAAATAAGAACAAATTACATAAACAATCCACAAAGATATATCTACAATCTTATCAAAGAACTTTCAAAGCATAGTAACCATTCATGTTCTGCAACCATGATTGAACAGAGTTATCCAGACTGTGAATCAATGACCTCTTTTATCTAATAATTTTCAGCTACCCACCTGCTTACTGACCTCCATTACAGCTACAATGTTGAGAGGAAAGACTGTGAACACAGCCAGAGACATCAGGGGCGAGTGTGTGAACCCTGCCTGTCACAACAAACACAATCATGAGAATCAGACCTGTACATGGCACAAATCTAAATTTCCAGGTAATTGATCACTCTCCCATCCAGTCATTCAGGTCTGCCAAATCTATCATCATCATCCAAATTTTTTTATACTGCCAAAACCAAGATATAAAATGACTTTATTCAGACCCGTTTTCAAGTTCTAAAGGTCTATTTTTACCATCATGACTACAATTCAAGAATCTCTTTTTCCATAACAGAAATCACCCAACAGAAATGATTCAAATATAAGCAAAAGTGATTTCAATATTAATTTGTACAAACTTTTCATAAAATGTTACTGTACGTTATCAAGTAGCACTTACCTGACGGGCCACACTTGCTAATTTGCTGTGTGTTGAGCGCAGAACAATGGTATACAGGTCTGACTCCCAGGACAGGTGTCTGCAAAATAAACCAGTGTTGAGGCAGGTTTTTAAAACCATGTATGCATATCAGGTTTTTCTAACAGTGTTGAGCGAATAAATAAATAATCAGAGTGTGACCTAGTTACCTAATTTCAATCAATATAATTAGAATGAATAAATTAAAAGTAAATAAATAAATGAATTAAATAAATATTAAATGGATATATTAATCTGTAAATTCTTTTAATGAATTTTAAAAATACATTAATTAATCCAAATAAATGTATAACTTTATGAATATTTAAAATCAATCAATAATTCAACAGCTCAATTTAATTCAGTTAAATGTTAAAATATTAATACCTAAACTTGTACTTGTTGGACAGGAAGACCTCCTGTAGTTTGTGTCCTGTCTCCAGGTCATGTCTTACCAACCAGTTGTCAGCAGTCAGCGCCAGGAAGGCAGGTTTGCATCCCTTGTGTTCTACACACAGCTCCTCCTGATATATAATTTAATGTGAATTTGGAGACGATTTTTTTACTAAAGTGTGGGATTGTGTATGTAAATGGATAATAAAATAATAAAAAAAACTGCTGCTTACTGGTATTGCATTGAGCTTGTTACAGGTATTGCGTGTTGTCATATAATATACACTCGACCAAAAGAGTTTGGAAACATAAAACTGTTTTCAATAATAAAAAAAAAAAAATGAAATGTATTGGGAAAATTTCAGTGTTGATAACAAAGTAATATATGATGAGGCATTATCCATCAATATTTGGTTAAAATATTTACCTTACCTCATATAGTTATTTCATAATTATTCAAAAAAAGAATCTTTCCAACCTATCTTTGGTTGAGTGTAATTACAAGATGCTTGCCAAAACCATAATTAAATTAGACTAGGCTGGTAAAATTGGTACAATGAAGGTTTTGGCAAAGAATAAACAACAAACATCATCTTACCAAAGTGGACTGACATATGATGCCCTCTTCTATCTTCTGTGCTGAGGTGCAATGTGGCAGTTTATATAGCTGCATAGGAACACCATTCATGCCGTAGCTGGAAGAGAACAAAAAATTATCTGACTGAAATATTTCACCGACAAAGAGGCAAAGCTATGCACTGAAAACTTAGCCCTATTTGTTGACAGAGGTAACTAACAGATAATGATATCTTGAAAACCAGTAATTAGTTGCCCATCCGTAAAGTTTGTCGTTTTATGCTTGAACAGCCCATCCAAACTAGATAAAACACTAGATATCAATAAAAATCAGTACTAGTACACACATGATGAAAGAATAACTTATTTAGTGTAATATGAACTATACTCACTTGGTAAAGCATGTCCGATACTGGTCAAAGTACAGCTTCCCTCTGAAATATCGAACGAAGATTTAATTTCTCAATTAGTACTTTTTCTTCGTTAAAATGATTGAGTTTGAAACTGTATGTTGGTAATGCCTAAACGGGAATGTGTGTGTGTGTGCGTGTGTGTGTGTGTGTGTGTGAGAGAGAGAGAGAGAGAGAGAGAGAGAGAAAGAGAGAGAGAGGAAGACGGACCAACCATCGCTGATACTTACCCCTCACACAGAATGGGATGCTTGGCTCTACGTTGCCAAATCTTCTTAAATTTAGCATCTGGCTAAAAAGTAAAAATTCACAGGAATTAATGTCATGGTGAACCAATCTATCCATGTGCAATGGCATACAGTACACATAAAAAGAACGGAAAATACTTGAGTATATTGTTCGAATACACCTATTCTTTGTCAATAATTTCAGCTACAAACGGCTAAGATAAGTGCATCTTCTAATCTGAGATGATTCTTTCCACAGTTTCGGTCTTTTCAATACATTATTGCACCAGTGACCTAGTGTAAAGTCCATCATTTTAAAACTAACTAGAGGATCAGAGAGGCGATACCGCCTCCTGATATTGTACCACCAGCTGGGGTAAGCGCATTTGTATGGGAAAGAAAAAGAAAGTGGGGCCCCACCTGTATGGTTGTGGGTGACAAGCTGCAGGAAATGTAGTAAACAAGGTGTTTTTTTTTTTTTTTTTTTTTAGTTTTGGCATCTAATGGCTGCTTTTCCCATGAAAATGCACCGATTGACCCCGAACTTCCACACATTAAAGCAGTCTGCAATTGTAACCCCTCAGTATAATATGAGAGCTAAGGTCTGCTTAGTTTCTGAACATTGGCACAAACAAATATCTTTTTGCAGAAATTCCCTTTTTTGCGATCTAGGAGGATAATTGGTAATGGTGCCTTTTATCCCACGCCACCCTGCGGAGCCGTACGATATGGGTTGGTACTAAAACCACGAATACCCCCAGCTTACACACTGGTGGTACTAACTATGGGCATATCTTTGCCAGTTTTGAAAGTATAAGCACTGAAAAAAGTTGCAAAGTTCAGTCCATGGTGAAAAGTAGGTCAAAGGTCAATTTCAAGGTCACAGTTAAATTGCCAGTATATGACTTCCTATTCAACTTCAATAGTAACTATTGACCCAACTCTCCTAGTTTTGGAGATATAAGAGACTAAAATTTTTCAAACTTCAGTTAATGGTGAAAAGTAGGAATGTACTTTTTGATACAGCATAACTCGTGAACCGTATGGAAAACAAAAAACACGGAGACCACCTCCAGTGTTGGGCTTGACATGCTCTATCAAATGCAAAAAACAAAAGGTCTCTAGCATTAACGACTCCAGAATTAGAGAGAGTTTTATGTTTCAGCATCTAATGGCCGCTGCTCCCGTGAAAATGCATAGATTGACTCGAAACTCACAGAGATGAAAGATAACCTGAAGGGTAACAACTACCAAAAATATTAGAGGTTAGGTCTGCGTAGTTTCTGAATATCAGCACAAAAAATTTTTTTTCGTAAAAAATTCCCTTTTTTTTTGAAAATTTTGGCCTGTTTGACCTTGAAATAAAGGTCAAAGGTCAAATCCAAGGGCATATTTGGAATCCTCATATGTGACTTTCGGTCAGACTTCTATAATAATTTTTCCCATAATTCCTTCAGTTTGGGAGATATATAGCATCGAATTTTCAAAAATTTCGACAAGGGTGCATTTCAACGAGCGTCATGCCCAGGCAATTGCACCGATCGAGACAAAAAAACCAGGGGGTTCAAGTTGAGATTATATGTGACCTAAATCCAAGAGATGGGGACACAGGCCCATGCAGTCTAGGAGGAGAAGCGGTAACGGTGACTTGTATCCCACGCCACCCTGCGGAGCCGGCGGAGCTCACGGAGCCGGCGGAGCCGTACGATACGGGTCGGGACTAAAACCATGAGTACCGCCAGCGTACACGCTGGTGGTACTAATTACTTACTAAGTCAAAATGTTCGGTGGGGTAAAGTTTAAGTTTACCTGCAAAACCAGCTCTCTCATAATATTGCAATTATGTCTGTAACTACACTTTACACCATATTCTCTTTGACTCAACAAATGAATCGTGTTCTTCTTCATTATTGCTCACATGATGCTGTTTTTATATACAATAGGATCAAACTCGAGGTCTTCGTGGGCGCAGCCATGTTTGTTGTCTCATATTGCGGTTGTTGAGATTTCATAATTTTGTTGTGCAATCGCTGTTAACACAATGTCTTTGTTCCTCCTCTGTCTTGAAAAAAAATTGACCTTTAATATCACGTTCAAAGTGAAAAAACAACTACAGTTGAAAAAAAAAAAAAAAAGCATTTCACATGTTTGATTTAAATAAATCCAAACTATCCATAAACAATATAGCAAAATATATACAAGATGGTCTAGACTAGCAAAAAAAATTTGAACAGCGGTTGCTATTCACAGTGCAATTTCATTGTCAGCGTTTTGCGGTTTTGTGGTTGCTTAAGGAAGTATAAATATTCAGTCTGTGAGGACATACCCACTTTTCTCTGTCTCTTTTGTTTTGTTTTATATTCAAATATTCTTCATTGGACTAGAAATACCTGCTTGAAAGAGAGGTGATAAGTTCATTATTGCAGAGGTCAGCGCCCAGAAAAGGACCGGGAAATAAAACACTTTAATGTCAGAACTTTGATTAATCATTCAATTACGACCGACTTATGTGCTGAGGCTAATTTCTCTGAACTGCAATGACCTCACCCAGAAGTTCAAATTCATCGATTGACCCTATAATCTCTACCAGCATATAGGTCCCCGTAAAACGTTATATTGTGGGAAAATATCATTTCAGCGAAAAAAAAAAAGGGGTGAAGGGCCCCGAAAAACTGATATTTTAGAGGGAGAACAATGGCATTTGGTTCGGGTTAGAACTATGACTCGGTTAGTCAAAATTCTAATTGATGTTTTTTTTTTTTTTTTTTTTTTTTTTTTTTTTTTTTTTTTTTTTTTTTTTAGAAATCAAAGGGGGGGGGATGCAGGACCCCCCTGACACCCACACTCTCTAAATCCACCACTGCAGTGGCTGACGCTGTTAAAGCCTAAGAAACTCAGGGCGTTTGACCCCTTAACAAAGATTCAGTTCAGTTCAGTTCACTGACCTCGCCATGACTTCTGGAGGTCGTTTGTGGTCAGCCTTCTAGTAATTACCGATGGTAATAAGCAGCTTTGGTCGCAGCTCTAGTCGCATAGCATATTGCGGGTTATTAACAAGCATTCAAAGTACCATAATTGCCCATCGTCTTGAATTATTTCTGGTCCGATAATTCGCTCATGAAAAGGAAAACTTGTTTGATAGCCACGGTCAACTTGAGATAATCATAATCGACTTGTTGACCGAACAATTTGCTTTGGGTAGGGTTTCATAAGGAATAAAATCTCTGTCGACAGTTGAACACTGTTTTGATACTGAAGTATAAAATTCATTTTTAAAGGGAGAATTAAAATTATTTTACTACTCATAGATCTTTTACAAGGAAAGGATTCCAGCATTCTCTATTCCTAGTGTCCTGCCTGTTATTAGAGGAATGAGATCTATATTTCACGATAAAAACATTGTGAACAACTCATAGAAATATAATATATTCTGTTGTACAAGAAAAACGGCAGTTATAGCTATTATTCTGATGTCTAAGCTTGTCTTCAGACCACTTAATCTCTTAAGAGATTATAACAAAAAAAAAAAAAAAAAAACTTTTAAGAAAAAAACCAAGGACTAACTTTGAATGTAAATATGGATTCATTAACTATTGCTAAGTATGGAGAAATTGTTGTTTACTCCAGGAAAATTCATTTTTTTTTTTTTTTTTTGGCCAAAACGAAGAGTTATTATTCCTTAAAGCCTGGGTGCTAGTAGACTCATTTTATAGAATTGAGTATAAAAGACCACCTTAAGTATAGCGTCTTTCTTTCTTTTCTTTCTTTGTATGTGTGTGTGGGTGTGTGAGTGTGTGTTTGTGTGTGTGTGTGTGTGTGTGTGTGTGTGTGCGTGTGTGTGTGCCCAGTTTGCAACCCTGAATCAGTCTCACAATTACGACATTTTTCATGATATATTAACATGATATACTGGTAGTAATCGGAATACAATAACGATATACACGTAGGCCTATCATTTTTTTTTCTCCATTTTATTACTATACTACATAAATGACTTTACTGCACACATCGCGTGTTGTAATATTGCATATATAATAAGTGTAAGGCGCCAGAATGCCGTGTGCGTGCGACGTGATTGTTTAGTGTCAAGCACACTGATTCAATGTATCTGCCTGTACAGTGAACAAACTTGATCCTTGAGACGCCATCATTGCTAAAGAAATATGATAACAATGCAATGTAAAGTGTGTGATGTTTCTGAAATTGGCACAAGTATAAAATAGCATTTCCTTAATGTGAAGAAAAAACGGTGCTCTTTGAGTAAGGCGTCTTCAATTCGTTTCTGGAAATTAGAGATATTCATAATGATGAGGTTTCATGTGCAATACATACATAATAAAACGTCCTTTTAGATCAACTGTAACGGTTCTTGACTAGGTGCACGTGGTAAAACTACCAACAAACTGTTGCTATTATATCACTAATTGCTTATGATTTATCTATATATTTCAAATAATATCTAGCATTTCTATTGCACATTGATTGCCCAATACAGCACGACAAGGGAAAACTAGCCTGTCCACCTGCGTACTGCGATGGCGATGGGGAAAAAGTAAAGTTGTAAATTATAGGCCACTCAAGATGAAAAGAAAATCAAAGGCCCACAAGAAAAAAAAGAACTCTGTTCTTGAAATTCCTAATTATGTAAAAGAGGAGGCGTAACGAGAATACATCGATTTATTTAAAACCGCAGACTGCTAAATCACATTCCATAGACTGCAACGTTCACACTGTCTTACAATGGAGTGTTCTAAACAGTGTGGAGACTAGTTTTAAATGACGTACAATCCGTTAATTTTACATAAGTTCTTAAATTCAAGTGGACGTGAGTAATGGTTAATTTATCATAATTTGACCTCTGTTGCTTTGTGTAAATTCTGCCTACCTTGCATTTTCTTGTTTCCTTATTTTTAGGATTAACACACAAATGCTTCTTTGTATAAGTCTATATTTAAAGAGGTTGATTATCAGAAGCAGAGACAAAAAATTTCGACAAGTAGTGAACAAACATTAAATTTAAAAACAGACTTTCTCTGATGGACGTAAAAAGTCACGGCAAAGTAATTAATTATCGAAACTGCAAACCTGGGTCTCAGAAGACCGCAATATTTACGGTGACATTAAAAACTTGTGTCCTAGCTCTTTTAATCCCTGGCGCGATTTAAATAGCATATTATAGTTTGAATGCGGTTTGTTCGACTAAATGGAGAGAGAGAGAGAGAGAGAGAGAGAGATCAATTTATCCAGAGGTTGCCTATGACTACGCTCACTTGGATCGATGTATCTAATCTCAGTGTGAACGCGCCCCAAGTGCACTCCGCGTGCCCGTGTACCGGTTCTCCTCACAACGCCGTTATCTCTCCTCTTATGACTGATTACCAGACGACTTACTGGCTATAAATCAAAATAATGGCTATGTAGAATGCTCCACATTTCATTATAAAAGGACCATCATATATAGCAATATGGAAGTCAGCGCTGGTATGCGTTGTTAAGTATATTTGCGCTCGATAAATAGAGCGACTGAAGGAAACTATGAGCATGAATATCAGTATAAATATGTAAATATAACAGCGTGACCTTAATGTGCTTGCCATAAGCTGCTCCTATATGAATTATAAAATTGTATCATGTCAGAAAAACTGCCTTATATAAAACGTTGTTATTTTATTTGTCAATTTTCCACCAAATCACATATTCAATTATAGATTAAACAAAAAATGATGAAAATTAATTGAAAATAATAAAAAAACACATTGATATTTAGGACATTTAGAAATATTCCGCGTTATTGTTAACTTCAGTAAAGGTTTTTATAAAATTAAGAAAGAAAGAAAGAAAGAAAGAAAGAAAGAAAGAAAGAAAGAAAGAAAGAAGAGCTGTCTACGCCCCCCTCTTAACCCAATTAATTGTATCCCCGCCTTCGAATCCGTACTATAATGTCCTTAATCTAGTTCAAGTAGCTGCTGTCACAACAGTCGCTAGGGCGGAGTACACCGCCTGTTATATTGGATACGAAGTATCGATCGATCTAAACTTATCGTAGTCGCAATACCTTGTATGGGAGAAATCCATTTGCCGCGCCGCTTAGGAATTCTGGGTGGTCAAATGAAATATCTCTACGTCATTACTATGTGAAACAGCTGAATATTGGCGGCAACTTCTAAGCATGGTCGAAATTTTGAGGGAGATATGAGATGGAAATTATATATTTGTAATTAAGGCGATTATTACACGAAAAAAAATGAATCAATCCTTATTTGGTATGTCTGCTACTCCTATATTACATGTAATGCATTATTTTGTCAATATTGCTCACAGAATTATATAACCTGCAGACATTTTCTTATTATTTATTTTCCGCAGGTTCTCCCTTTAAGATAACCTGGCAGCATTCCAGGTAGTATTGACGTGCACGTAGTCCGCCTCTTTCTCTGTGGCTGTATTTACATACGTGTAAGTCGGTTCATTCATAGGCTAGCGGATTAACCAGGCCAAATCAGCATTACGTCATAATCTTAAACTTTAATTTAAACATTTTAAAATAATGTCCAAGATTATAATTTTTACCAGTTTTCATTCATTCTGTGTCATTTTTAAAAGGCATTCTCGCAAAAGATTTCCAATTTCATAGACATCTGGTTGGAATTACGCTCACTAGACACTTGCATTTGCGTCAGCGTGACGTCACGGATGTTCCGCCTGAATTCTTACTATCAGTGCGCATGACCTACTTCCTACTATGACTTGTGAAAAGGTTGACAGAGGCACGAAGTGGTCGGATTTCTCGCTTTATCTCTAACATTTCGAGTGGATTCTTACGCAAAGATAAGAGGAAGATACAGGGGGATCACAGGACTATAAATTTGAGGTGATTGTGTTGGGTTTCAGAACAGTTTCCACTCACGAACTGACGGGAAGATTCTTGGCAAATTTCCACGACGGTTTGTTTTGGTGTGTTGTCTGAAGGCAGAATCCCGCGTGGCACTCGCCACAGAGAAAAGACGTCCAACAAAGCGAAAGGACGTCTTT